ATTTAGCATTCACTGTCATGGTGTGTGCCCAGATAATAAAAGCATCATGTTTTACACAATGACTGTTTTATATATCTGTTGGGATATGGTGTGTCATTATTTTCAGCAAAAATATTAAGTTATTAATCTATGTAAAACTGTATATAACTGACTGCCTATTTGAAAAGTATTTGCAAAAGTTAAAATTTTATTCACTGGTTTGTAGGACCCAAACATACCATCTGGGCATGAATTTTCATCACAACACTAAAAGGTAAATTTTTCAATGAACCATTAAGCACTTTTTTATTTTGCATCTAAAAGTTATCAATTGAAATAACTAAGAATTCAATAGTTTGGGGAAAGGAGCATAATGAGTAAAGTAATTCTATGGTATTTACATACTTAAAAAGCTGAAGTTTATGAAAATACAATTTTGCAAAGCTTATTCTTTCATATTGCAGATTATTATGGATTTTCCTTGAATTGTACAAGGCCTAGTTCAGTCAAAATTCCAAGTTCTGCAAATAGGGTGGCTGAATGGGCGTTTTGTGGTTTTCCCCATGTGTAACATGTATATGAGCCAGTTTCCCTTAAGAAAATCCTCCTTTTAGGCATATAGTCCTCAAGGCTTTGCTGTAATCACATAAACCAAAACCAACCTTGAATTGTACAGTTGTTTTGTCTTTCTTTTTCTTCAATCTACTTTTATCTTTTTAGCAACTAATATTCATCTATTGAAAACCAAAAGTTAAATACATTTTGGTGAAAACAAGGCAACATAAAATACATGCACCTATAAAGTAGTTATAGGTTAAATCTAGGTGATGTGTTAATGGAAGTAAACAAGATGTGTTATCTTCTTATTATCTGCACTTCCGTCCTGAAAATTTCCTAGCCATTGCTGACTAATTTTTCATCAAGCTAGCACATGAAAGATAACAATCATTTTCAAAAATGGCACTGCCCTAACAATTATGTAAAACAGGAAACAATTAGCAAAATCAAAATACAAAAAGCATCCACAATGGGACACTTACCTTTTTGTTTCTTATGGCTGTTTTCCCATGTACAGAGCAATCTGTTTTATCTTAAGAAAACATCAGAGAATTGCAGAAACTCAGTATCGTGCACAACTTGGCATTGCACAAACTTTCATTCTCTCCATGTCCAAAGTAATCTTTTTCCCCTTATAAAAAAAAAAAAAAAAAAAAAAAAAAAAAAAAAAAAAGGAAAATTGTCCAAATTTCTCTTTGCACACACTGTTGTATACCCATGTACATAATGATATGTTTTCGCGGGGGGGGGGGGGGGGGGGGGTGATCAAAGTATTGCACAAATTTTGATCCATAAAATTTGATTGTTTATGAAGTGCAATTTCATGGAATGTGAATTTTTGTATGGTTAGGCAAAACATCATATTTTTGAAGAAATGCAGTGCTTTCTTTTTCATCATCCAGCAAACTTGACAGTCTCATTGCAGATTTTTGTCCAAAAGAAAAAATGCACTCAGAGCAACAAAACCAAACGTGGAAATCAGCATTCATCTGCTGTGCACATATACATACCTGGGTTGCCACATAAATACATTTCCGCGATGTCATGGGTTGCCTGTTTTGACAACATAGGACATAGCCTTGCGAAGGCAGAAGGGGAGTGGATAGTCAGAAAGTACTAAAAATTTCCACTTTCAGTTAAACAAGTGTCAGTTTTCCTTAAATGCCATTCATAAAAATTTTTAAGTTCTTGCAATTATGCAAAATCTGTTAATTTAATATGCTTTAAATTAAAATATGCTGGAAGAAATCAGTTTGTTAGGTTTCATTGAAAATAAAGGATCAAGAATATATCGTAAGTGAAAAGAACCTAAACGGTGAAAAACACTGATGCTCAGGTTTACCAATTTACTTTGAATCCAATGTGTATTTTGAAATCCAAACATTTTTAATATTTAAATTTACATGTCTCTAAAATTTTTGAGTGGAAAGTTCTAATTTTTTTTAAAAATAAATAAGATGGTTTGCGAATTTTTATAAGTGTAATTAAAGATATTTTTTAAAAAAATTATAGAAATTAATAAAAATCAAAATTTTTTGTAATGATCAGGGGAAGGCTGTTTCAGGTTATAAGATAAAGCAAGGAAGTTTTATTTAAAAAGTGATATACTAAATTCAGTTACCTAAAAAAAAAAAAAAAAAAAAAAAAAAAAAAAAAAAAAAAAAAAAAAAAGACTGCTTGTGTGATTTTTTGCAAAAAAATAGAACTTTAGCATAATTTGATTCAAGGAAATAAGTTATGGAAAAAAATGGATATCTTTTCAGAAATTGTCTGATTTTTGTGTCCAAATATGTATGTAAAATAACATGATATATACACTGAAGTGACAAAAGTCATGGGATAGCAATATGCAAATATACAGATGGCAGTAGTATCGCGTAGAAAATGTATAAATGCGAAATGCTTTGGCATGGCTTTCATTTGTGTTCAAGTTATTCATGTGAAGAGGCTTTGACGTGATTATGGCCGCACGACGAGAATTAACAGGCTGAATGTTAGTTGAAGCTAGACGCTTGGGTCATTTCATTTCGGATATCGTTAGGGAATTCAACATTCCGAGATCCACAGTGTCAAGAGTGTGTGCCGAGAGTATCTAATTTCAGGGCATAACATCCCACCATGGACAGCGCAGTGGCCGGCACCTGCCTTAACGACCGAGACCAGCAACGTCTGCGTAGAGTTGTCAATGTTCACAGAAGAAGCAACACCATGTGTCAAATAACTCAGAAATCAATGTGGGACAACGAGGGACGTGTCAATAGGAAGTGGGGCGAAATTTGTCTTCTTTGGGCTATGCCCAGCAGAAGGACCGATTGAGTGCCTTACTGACAGCACGACATCGCCTGCAGCGACTCTCGTGGGCTTGTGAGCATATCGGTTGGTCTTAAACGAATGGAAAAAACAGTGGCTTGGTCAGATGGTCACGATTTCAGTTGGTAAGAGCTGATGGGTAGGGTTTCAGTGTGCCACACCCCACGAAGCATGGACCCAAGTTGTCAACAAGACACTGTTCAGCTGGTGGTGGTCCATAATGGTCTGGGCTGTTTTACATGCATGGACTCGGTCCTTGGTGCACTAAACCAATCATGACGGAAATAGATACCTTCAGCTACTTGGATATCACTTACAGCTTCATGGACTTCACGTACTCAAACAACGATGGGATTTTTAGGATGACAATGTGCCATGTCACCGGGCCACAATGTTCGCGATTGGTTAGAAGAACATTGTGGATTATTCCAGCGAAGATCTGGCCACCTAGACACCCGACATGAACCCATCGAACTCTTTGGAAACATCATTGAGAGGTCAGTTCGTGCCCAAAACCCTGCACCGTCAACACTTTCACATTATGGATGTCTATAGAGGAACATGGCTCAATATTCCTGCAGGAGACTTCCAACGACTTGTTGAGTTCATGCCACGTCGAGTTGCTGCACTTCGCCGAGCAAAATGAGGACCGACAAAATATTAGGAGGTATCCCAAGGCTTTTGTCACTTCAGTGTACACTTGCCAGAAAAAATATCCACACACAAGGGAGAAAACCTCAGAATACTGAGAAACTCAATGCTTAAGAAGCCACGACCTTTGATTTTTTTTTTTTTTTTTGTTAATTATTCATTGGTCATTTTACTAACTTTTCAGTACATTTTTTAACAGGAAAAGAAAACAGAAAAATTATCCGTATGTAGCAATATTAGTTTAAAATATTCATCTTTTCTATAAAATATAAGTGATTTGTAGTAATCTGTAGGGTAACCTTGCCTCTTGAGAACTTCTACTAGTCGATTTGGCATAGACTGAACCAGCTTCATTGTATCCTGCTTGGTTATTTTGCTCCATTCATTGATGATGACGTTTCTGAGCATTATGGTTATATGGTGCTGACCATTTTTATGCTTCTGTAAATCCCACAAATCATCAATGCGATTGAGGTCTAGAGATTAGGACGTTGTACACAATTGGTATTTCAATATTTATAGAGCAACAACAGCTTCAAATTCTAAGTTGCGTGCTTCAGATCATTATTCTTTTAAAACCAGAAATCCTCATCAAATTCCAATTACTAGTTGCTTTGCTTCAAATTGGTTTTTGAAATGTTTAAATAACTGTACTGACCCATCATGGACTATACAAAGAAGTTTGCCAACTCCGCTCACCACTATACATCCTCAGACCATTATACCACCTCTGCCGACTGCTGGTGCAAGATTGACTGCTGGTACAAGATTTTCTTTATCAAATGCAGTACCGCTCTTATGCCATACTAGCTTCCTTCTCTTGATTCCAAATATGCAAAATTTGCTTTTATCTGAGAATAGAACACTTTCCCAAAATACCCGATCCTTGTTTACATATTCATTAGCAAAATCCATTTGTTTCTTCCTCTTAACATCCAATATATGTGGCTTTTTACATGGTACATGGGCACAATACCCATGATTCTTCAAAATTTTTTATCAAAAGAGTTTTTGATGCTTTGACTTATTTGGGAAGCAACTGCTCTAGGATTCTTTTTTACAGGCTGCAAAATACTAGTTCGTTAATATGTTATTGAGAGTGTAAACATTTCCACTAATACCGGGGAGGGGGGGTTCCCTTTTTGATGTATACGGAAACGTTTTCTGGTACATAGTGCTGCCATCTATTTATTTTTGCATTGGAAAACTGTTTTTAAACTAGTAAGCCTTGTAAAAATTACTGGGAATCTAGAAAAATGCCCTATAGGTGAGTACTCAAAAGGGAAAAAATCAAATAAAATTTATATCTCCATTTTGGTAAATATTGCAATTTTTTTCCACTGCATGTATAGATGTTTTTTGTGGCATGTGTAAATCTAATGCATATATTAAGTGGATAAGTATATGATTGAAAGATTGTATTGTATTATTGAACGATTCTGCAATATAAATACTGACTTATATCTTTGTATGAAATATTTATTTTAACACAATACTTATAGGTGCTGCCCAAGTTCCTGATGAAGTTCGTCCTGCCAAGAAATCAAAGCAATACTTCGGAAGGAAAAAACATAAAATACTTCAGCAAGTAAAGCAATACTTCGGAAGAAAAAAACGTATAAGTTGTATAAATGTTAGTACTTCCAGCCTTTGTCAACCATCATAATTATATGAAATATATTAGAGCTCAATAAAAATTATTCTGTCTATATATTATGCTTTAAAATTCTGATTACTTCATTTTAATTAAACAAGTTATGTTTCATAATTGGAGTTATCCTCTTTTATTAATTTATAGTAGTATAACCATTTCTTTTAAAGAAATATGAAATTCAATATGTGAATGTATTCGCTTCTCTTGATTTTGTAATTTCTCAGACATTAAGCATTTGAAATCAAGAATCCGCCCCCCCCCAAAAAAAAAAAAACAAATTACACCAAATTAAGGCTCCTTTTTTCTAATTTAAATTTCATACTGGTATGTTTCTCCTTGATAAACTGATAAAAGTTTTTATTCGTGGCTAGTGAGAAGAGATTCAGAAATTTGGCAAGAGCATGATATAGAAATCCTGTGATATTTCTGATCCTAAGCTCAGAACCAGAAGGTCTGATGGTGAAGATTTTTGCGTATTATTTTTTGTGGAATGAAGAGTGACCACTGAGTATTGATTATATGCAACATATTATCCTGATAACATGTTGTTGGCCTCTTATGACTTGTCAGGGTTCGTACGGTCCTTAAGAGTCCTTAAGTTTTTTGGAATAAATTTTTGGTCTTTAATTTCGTCCAAAATCGGCAAAAGGTCCTTAATTTTAATCATCTAAAATATCTGACTGTTTTTACGACTGTTATTTTGAGTGTGAATTACCATTTTGGAGGAATATTTTTGGTGTTTCCCTGAGGTTATCTTTTGAATGGGTTATAATTTGTTCCTATTTCTAATATAAATGGTGGGATGCTTGGGTTTTATAGTGAAAGAAGTGCAACATAAGCATTTCGAAATTATTTAATTTTTTCTAATGAAGAGCTCTTAAACAACTTTTCACTTTTGGTGATGTGAATTCTTTTATTAAACAGTTCTGAATTTGCCGCCTTATCAACATTTTGGCGATTTTAAGGTCAGTTTCTGTAGAAAATTTTTAATTTCGAGATCCGGGAATTTTTCGATGACTTTTTTTAAAACATTGTAACATTGATCAATTTCATTAAAATGATGGTAAAATATTGAAATTATGTTTAAAAAAATAACATTAAAATAAAACATTTTTAATTTTTGCTGTCATATTTATAATGTTCCATTTTGGCCATTTATTATACAATATTTTGAATCTGAAAAATAAACAAGGTATAATGCTATAAAGCACAATTTATGAAACAGTTATTAGCAAAAGCAAAATAGCTATGTAAATAATTAAAAATGCCTTTTTAAATTTTTCATGGTAAGAGTTTTTCCCATGTAGTTCTCTCAGAATATACATCAGTTTTCTCTATAAAATTAATTTTATACTTTCTTCCTCTGATATTTTTTTCTCAAAATATTTCTGGCTTTTTACTGTTGCAGAATAATTTTTCTTTAGGATTTTAGGCATTGCAGCTTGGAACGTTTAGAAGGATTTGAAAGCAAGATTTATAAACCCATGATTCTAGAAGATTACAGTAAAATGTTTCCATGGTATTAACATCTAATGAATGTATTTTATGGGAAGTTTGCGATGAATTTCTTACTTTTAGTAGAAGGTTTGGAAGAACAATGAGAACATAATAGTTGAATGTTTTACTTCTGATACTCGAATCTTTTTCTTAATATGTTTATCTTCCCTTTATTTGCTCTACTTTTCACTAGACACAGGCATGGAAAATATTAAAAATGCTTCTAATCTTATTACAAGGACAGGCATTATGGAAGGAAATTTTTTTATTAGTAAAGCAACTGAAAACTGACAATTTAAATGATTCATCTAATATATCTGAATGCATTATGCACAGGGCTGGTGCTAGGCATTTTCCCACCTGATTCAATCTCTGTGGATTCTAAATCCACTGCCTAGTGCCTTTCTAAATTCTGCTTCCAATGCCTGCCCTAAATTCTAAAAGTTTTGCCATTTTTAGATTTTTTTGCTTGGTGTGTCACTAAATTCTAAAATTTCTACCACACCATCTCTGTAACCAGCCCTTACCATGTATATTTCATATTTCTTCAGAGTGTTCATATTACTAAAGAAATAAAATTAGCAGCTTTTTCTGTACATTCTAAATGCATTTAGTGTTTTCAGAATAACAGAAATCTTTAATTGAATTCAAACATTCTAAAATGAAAAGGAAACTTTCTAAAGAAAGAAGTTGAATACATAAAGAGAAAGAAAATTATTCTTCAAAGATATGTACTGCTATTATTATGTACAGTTATTATTATATAAATTATGCAGTTGTTTATAATTTCAGCCTTTACTGTAATTTCCCATTTCAATTTTCTCACCAGAACGCTAATCACTTGGGCAATTTTTAAACTGAGGTGTTTGGAGTGTGAAACAGTATATTTCTGATCTCCACTCGCTCGCTGCATTAGTTCCTGTCAGCTCTGATAATTTATAATTATTCATCTTTGCATTATCGCTTCTGACACTTGAATTTGTTATGATGATAGAGTTACTGAGACATAAATTAAATTTAAATTGCATAGTATTTTATCACTAAGTTTACATTTTTAGTTTGAATTTGACTCTTCTTGTTTAATTGATTTTGTTAGCATAAGGACATGCCTTTATGTTCTAAGTCCTATTTAAATAAGAGGCTTATTGTAAACCTTTGTCTGCCTTTGTAGTTACTTTAACACATAGCGATAATTTGCTTCACGTTTGTCTGGGGTTTTCGACTGTTTAACCTTTATCATATCAAGTCAAACCTCATAGGTACTGTAGAGACATTAGGATTTTTTTTGGAACCAGGAGAGATGAAAAATGAGCAACGTCTGCCCCGGGAATCGAACCATGGACCTCTGGAATATGCACCCAACGTGCAGACCACTACACTAAGAAGGTAGGAGAAATGCCTTGTAGTACCTTATGGTTGATTAGTTAGGAGATAAAGCATGTAGAAACTAGTGAGAACATTGGTCTGCATATTGGAAACAAATTGCTAACTGTTAGAAAAGATGCTTAAATAGAAGAAAATTGATATAAATTAGCCAGAATGTCTGCAAAGGCTTCAAATTATTTTGTTGCTACACATAAAATGTAGCTTTTAATATGTATTTAAGAATCAATGTCATGAATTACATGTATTTCAAACTGTGATATGTTAAGAGATTGTGATTTTAATAGTGCTTCTTTAACAAATATTTTTAAAAGATAAATTTAATAGTGGCCATGTAAATCTGTAATGAGTAATGGTATCTAACTACAGTCAAAAGTCGTTAATCCGGACTCGTCGGGACTTCGGCGATTCCGGATTATAGATCATCAGTTTAAATCTCGTAAGATGGCATGCAGAAATTCTAAAATTAAAAAAATATGAAAACCGTAATTTATGAAATAAAGAACAATTATGATCTAAAGGGTATCAAAATTACAAAAAAAAAAAAAAAAAAAAAAAAAGGCTTAATATTTATTTTTTTACTTAATTAAACAATTCTTTCAATGTAAGTTGTTTAAGTTGCTTCGTTTTTTGTGCTGATACTTTCTCTTTAATTCTATAAACAGACATAATTTCTTGTTCAGTTACAAAGTTCCGCTGTTCAAGTCCCGTAATTGCTGTGCCGAGAATACCGACTAACTTGTCAATCGAAATTTTTTCGTTTTCACTAACCTCTCTGTCACCTTCATGTCTTTATCCATTTTTTGCAGCAATTCCACTTTTTGTTTGATGGACATCGAAACATACTTTCATTTTGTAAATCCTTTGGGAGCTCCAGCATCGTAAATTCTATTTGACATAATCGAAAGTTCAAGTTTACTTTTATAAAATTGCTCTTGCAGTCTGCAAAAAATAATAAGACAGATCCAATTCGAAGATTAAGAAACAACGCAATCATCAACATTAACTGAAATAGATAATTTTAGCTTATACCATCCATTATACATAAAACGCGCACGCGAAAACATGTTCTGCACTTGCGCACATGCATATGTGCAATCGTAAAGGTCTTATGCACACGCGTAAATGCCTGTGCGCATGTGTCAACGTGGCGCATGCGCAGAAAGTTTTTAGCTTTGAGGTCCGAATTAACGACTTTTGACTGTACCTAATTTAATTATTTATAACTAACTGTTTACCCTTAAAAATTCTCTCTGCGTGTTAAAGCATATTATTGCCTTTCATTAATCCTTACTGTGGTCACAAGATAAAACACAAAAATGTAAAAATTAATGTAAAACTTAATCTTCACATATAGGGAGACTTAATGCAAAAAAAAACTTATCACCTCTGGTGCTTTATTGGCTTATTGGAACCTTAAAGTATATAACTGGGTTACAACTTCTGAAACTATACGCTAAGCTACAACACTAACTGCATTATCCAGAGCTCAACTAACTTTCAAAACTTGCCGGCCGTGCCTATATCAGACCTTTCAGATTTGTTCTGATCAGCAGGTCTCTCTCTAGGCAAGCAGCAGCAGTGGCAATAGCCAGTCTTTTGTTACGAATCATGCTGATTATGATTTTACTTCTCAATTTAACCTATGCTGCTTGACATAAAATCTACCTGCTATTTACTAAACCTCTAGACTGAGCAAGTATATGACAAAATGAGACATAAGAGAAAAAATCAACATAAGCTAACTGTTAGTAAAACGTAAATAAAATGCCGCTTTTCTTCTTTCTAATATATCCAACTATTATAAGTGTAAAATATTTAATGTTACTTGATAAATTTCATAAAATTTTATTTTATTATATAAATTATTAATAATTATGTTAATTAAGTTATGTTTAATAGTAATGCATCCTACTTATGGATCTATTTATTTTTAGAACGGTATTACAAAAGTGAAGTTCAGTCCCAGATAGTATTTTTAATTGAATTTATTCAGTTCCCATTTGCTCATAGGTCCTTAATTTTTTTCATTAATGGTCCTTAAAAGTGCTTAATTTCCATGTTCAGAAATGTGTACAAACCCTGCTTGTCGGTCATAGCCGTTGGTTTGTTGTTTTTATGGATTTTTTGGAGTTGAATCAATAGGTTAAAATATACACTAGTGAGCTGTCTGTTTTGC